TAGTGGTGTGGATAGGTTAAACCAGCCACAACTCTCTTAAGCCAAAACCTGATTTAGAGCAGAATACTAACTGTCTTCAATTCTAGTAAGGCTGAGAGAGGTGAGGAAGCTGTGGAAGAAAAGTTAGAAGCTAGCAAAGGTTGATTCATGAGGTTTAAGGAAATAAGCCACCTTCATAACATAAAAGTGCAATGTGAAGCATCGAGTGCTGATGTGGAAGCTGCTGCAAGTTATCTAGAAGATCTAGCTAAGATCAGTGATATAGGTGAATACATGAAACAACACATTTTCCATGTAGATTAGTCTTCTGTTGGCTGAAGATGCCTCGTAGGAATTTCACAGCTGGAGAGGGATACCTGGCTTCAAAGCTTCAAAGGACAGTCTTGACTCTCTGTTAAGGCCTAATGCAGCTGATGACTTGAAGTCAGTGTCCATTTACCATTCCAAGAATCCTAGGGCCCTAAAGAATTATGCTAAGTCTACCCTACCTGTGCTCTATAAATGGGACAACAAAGCTTGGATGACAGTACATCAGTGTTTATAGCATGGTTTACTGAATATTTTAAGCTCAGAGTTGAGACCTACTGCTCATTAAAAAAGATTCTTTTCAAATTATTACTCATTGACAATGCAACTGGTCACCCAAGAGGTCTGATAGCAGTGTACATCATGCCTTCTCTATTAAGTTGTTCTTGCATTGCTGTAAATAAATACTTGAGACTAGGTATATATAAAGAAAAAAAGTTTAATTGGCTCATGGTTCTGCAAGCTGTACAGGAAACAGTGCTGGCATCAGCTTCTTGGGGAAGTCTTAGAGAGCTTTAACTCATGACAGAAGGCAAAGCAGGAGCAGGCACATCACATAGCAAAAGCAGAAGCAAGAAAAAGAAAGAGGAGGGGTGGAGGTACCACACACTTTTAAATGACCAGATATGTGAGAACTATCATGAAGACAGCACCAAGCCATGAGATATCTGCCCCCATGATTCAGACACCTTCCACCAGGCCCCACCTTCAGCACTGAGGATTACAATTCAACATGAGATTTGGGCTGGGACAGATATACAAACTATATCACCTTCTAACATGGCATCCATCCTGCAGCCCATCAATCAAGGAGTCATCTTGATTTTCAAGTTTTGTTATTTAAGAAACATATTTTATAAGGCTATGACTGCCATAGATAGTGATTCCTCTGATGGATCTGGGAAAAGTAGATTGAAAATCTTCTGGAAAAGATTCACCATTCTGGGCCATTAAGAACATTTGTGATTTATGAGGGGAGGTCAAAGTATCAACATTAATAGGAGTTTGGTGGACGGTGATTCCAACTCCATGGGAACTTTGAAGGGTTCCTCCTTCAGTGGAGGAAGTCACTGTAGATGTGACAGCAGCTAGAGAACTAGAATTAGAAGTGGAGCGCAAAGATGTGACTGAAATTGCTGTGTGATAAAACTTGAATGGTTGAAGAGTAGCTTCTTAGGGATGAGCAAAGGTCGTGGTTCTTGAAATGGAATCTACTCCTGTTGGAAGATACTGTGAACATTGTTGAAATGACAACAGAGGATTTAGAATATTACATGCACTTAGTTGGTAAAACAACAGCAGGGTTTGAGAGGATTGACGTCAGTTTTGGAAGCAGTTCTACTGTGAGTAAAATGCTATCAGACAACATTGCATGCTACAGATAAATCTCTCATGAAAGGTCGAGTCAGTTGAATGGCCAGCTTTACTGCTGATTTATTTTAAGAAATTGCCACCACCACCTCAGCCTTAAGTACCCAACATGTTGATCAGTCAGCAGCCATCAACATCAAGGCAAGACCCTTCACCAGCAAACTGTTTAACTCACTTAAGGCTCAGACGATATTAGCATTTTTATCAAAGTATATTTAATAAAGGTATGTACATTTGTGTCTTAGACATAATGTTATTACACACTTAATAGACAACAATATAGCATAAACATCTGTTATTTATTTTAGAGACAGGGCCTCACTGTTTTTCTGGCTGGAGTGCAGTGGCATGATCATGGCTAACTGCAACCTCACACTTCTGTGTTCAAGCTATCCGCCCACCTCAGCCTCACGAGTAGCAGGGGTACTACAGGCACACTCCACCATGCCTGGCTAATTTTTTTTTTTTTTTTGTAGAGACAAGATCTCACTAGGTTGCCCAGACTGGTCTTGAACTCCTAGCATCAAGCAATCCTCCTGCCTTGACCTCCCAAACTACTGGGATTACAAGCATAAGCCACCATGCCTGGCCTAAACATAACTTTCATATGCGCTGGGAAACCAAAACATGAGTGTAGCTTGCTTTGTTTGCTTTACTGCAGTGGTCTGGAACCAAACCTGCAATATCTCTGAGGTACACCTATGTAATAAAGCATGAAGAAAAAGCATAAAGTTTGTTTTTTTGTGTGTTTGTATTTCTCTGCCACATCCAGGGGTCTAAGTTTTTAGTTGTTCGGAAATACTTCTGAAAAGGAAAAATGGGAGATAAGAAGGAAGGAGAGAAAGAGCAAAGAAGAGGCTCTGAATCAAAAGAAGTGCACCTGTTCTGTTTTGGGACTAGGTTTAAGTTTTATAATTAGCAAATTACTAACACAGCTGAGTGCTTTTTGATCTAATGCATCTTGGACTGAGACACTATTTAACAGTGTTAATTCCTTGTAGTAAGGGATAGACATTCCTAGCTTTTTTCATCTGGAAAGGATGGGATGCTCCTCACATCCACAGAGTGATCCTAGCCCCTATCAGAAAGAAAGACAAGACTGTGACAGTGTAAGGGTCAATGTAAAGGGCTAGCAGGTTAGCAGAGAACATGTATGGAATGTTTTAGGCTTTATGTGCTCATCATGGATAGTTGTTTAAGCTACCGGAAAAGCTGGTTGCTGAAACTCATGAAATTCCGTCACAAATGATCATGGGTTGTAGATTTCTTGTTCTTGAGAAACTGTAGCAACTCTAGTCAGGAATTGATTGTAGAGAAAGCTTGGAACTCTTGTTTGGGAGGCATCCTCTGTCTTAAAAAGCCTATTGGGAATAATTCAGATCCTAATCATTACCACTCACATTTTTGGTCTCTGGATTTTGGAGCATTAAACAATGGGAAAAAATTCTTCTAAATCTTGTGGGACTCTAGGCATATGGGGAAGGAAAAAGGAGGGAGCTTAACTAGTTTTGTTCAGACTTACTTGGAATGCTGCTGAATCAACCCAAATGTCCATCAGTGACAGACTGGATTAAGAAAATGTGGCACATATACACCATGGAATACTATGCAGCCATAAAAAAGGATGAGTTTGTGTCCTTTGTAGGGACATGGATGCAGCTGGAAACCATCATTCTCAGCAAACTATCACAAGAACAGAAAACCAAACACCGCATGTTCTCACTCATAGGTGGGAACTGAACAGTGAGATCACTTGGACTCCGGAAGGGGAACATCACACACCGGGGCCTATCATGGGGAGGGGGGAGGGGGGAGGGATTGCATTGGGAGTTATACCTGATGTAAATGACGAGTTGATGGGTGCTGACGAGTTGATGGGTGCAGCACAGCAACATGGCACAAGTATACATATGTAACAAACCTGCGCGTTATGCACATGTACCCTAGAACTTAAAGTATAATAATAAGAAATAAAAATAAATAAATAAATAAATAAACAAACAAAAAAAGAAATTCTGTGGATTTACTTCCTTTTGTGCTTACCTTTAAGAGATTTTATAGAGAAATCTGGACTGGTTGGTTATTTTCTAAAATATCGCTGGTCAAAAAACTGCAGTACTTTTCTTGGGTCTGAAATACAACCCCTTCTTTTCTTTCAAGATTGTTGTATAGGATGAACATTTTAAATCTGAGGTTATTTAAATTCATGAAAGTCATCATATAAAGAGGAAATAGTCCTGGATATTTTTTTAAAAACCAGTTGTTCTTACTGCATTTTTGTGATGTCTTTAGGGCTAGATTTGTCTAGTATCTATCTAGTTTTGAAGAATGAAAAAGCAACTTCCTTGGGAGAGCTATGCATTGAGATATTTTGTATTTGTTGTTCCCTATTCCTCTTTCTTAAAACATAAAACTAAATAACAGTTGAATAGATGAAATAAATACTTGGAGAAGACAAAAAGATTAAAATCTGAATAATAATCTTTGAGAAGAGTTGGGCTTCCTTTTCACAAAGCTTGCCTAAGTGGTCACCATTGCTTAACCTTTGCTGAGATGATCAGAAACATGGATTAGAGCTTGATTCTTTTTTCATCAGATTCTTCTACCAGGGCAATAGTGGAAATGTTATGACTATATAGTAGTTACTTTTTTCTCTCTCTCTCTCTGCATGTGTGTGTGTGTACTTTCAAAGATTGTATACACGGTATTTCATTTCTTTGTGTTGGGAGGCAATTTTCTTTTGCATTTCTGCATGTCTTGTGAGCAGAGGCACTGTCTTTTTGGACAATCTTTTAAAGGATATTTGCATTGTGAACAACCTTGAATGTTACTGTCTCCCTCTAGAACAAAGCACAGATTTGCTTACTCTTCTGTATAGTAAATATCTCCCTCAGGAACAAGGGCAGGCATGCTTATAAAAGATTCAAGTTTCCTGAGCTCAAAAGTTCCTCTCCTGTAATGCGGCACATTGAGTGTGCAGGTGTTACCTGGCCCTCTTCACATAGCACTCTTGGGAATTTGGGTTCAGTGAACTGACACAAATGCTTATATTCTGACTACTGCTATTGATGTGGGTGCTAAACTCTTCTTTGTCTCCGACCTAGGAGTCTCTTGTTATCTGCTAGGACCCATGAAAGTGGCAGGTTAAGTTGTTTGCTTGCAAATATGATGAAATCTCAGATCCTTTACAGTTAGTTCTTGATACTTTGAAATAACAGTGATTAATTAAATGGAATGTATTTGGAAAGATTCATTGAAACTTTTAAGTTTTACAATTTTTGAGAAGTTCATTTAGGATATTTTTTCTGCTTGCTTTGATACAGGTTTCGTTTATAATGTCAGCCCTTATATGGAGTATCATCCTGGTGGAGAAGATGAACTAATGAGAGCAGCAGGATCAGATGGTACTGAACTTTTTGATCAGGTAAGGTGTGCTGAAAGTAACCAAAGTATTCCAGTGGAAGAGTACTCTTAGATTTATCAGTGTGACATTTGTAGAAAGAAAGAAAATAGTTGCATAAAATCCAGATGTATTGGCTTGAATTTTGAAGTGTGGGAAGATGCTCACAAGTAGCCGCTGTTCATTTAATTTGCCCTTTGAGTTGTTAAAATTTTGGAGATATTTCAAATCTGTGTCTAGGGGTCTTAAGTGTTTGTTGCCTCCTTTGTTGGTAAGTGTTTATTCAGTCTTGATTAGTTTTGATAATGATTGGCTTATGGGAGGTAGTGACAATTGGAAGAAGGAACATTGGGATTTGCTGCTAACTTGCTGAATCACTTTTAACAAGTAACTTGGCTTCTTTTCCCTTAGTCCTTTGTCACCTAGGAATTGCTGTATATTCAGCCTACTGCTCTATAGTGCATTTGCATGTCATGTAGAAAGTTAGCTGAGGATTAATGAATAGAAACTTATTTTTCCTAGCATGATGGCAGAGATTCTGAATAGGTTATCTCAAAAGATATTTAAATTAGTCACTTTTCCCCTTATATTTACTAAAAACTAGCATTAGCTCTTAAACTATTTAAAAGTTATACAGAATGTTGATTACTATCAGTTTGCTGAACTGTTATTCTGAGACAATAGTCTTTAGAAAGATGGAAATTTGCCTGTCTCATATATGCTTTATTTTATATTTTAATGATGATTAACCATGTTGTAATGTTGGATTTTTATCATTCAAGATAAGATGAATCAGGTTGGGTTATATTATAGCTGTTTTTTTGTTTTTTTGTTTTTTGTTTTTTTTTGAGACGGAGTCTTGCTCTGTCGCCCAAGCTGGAGTGCAGTGGCTCGATCCTGGCTCACTGCAAGCTCCGCCTCCTGGGTTCACGCCATTCTCCTGCCCCAGCCTCCCGAGTAGCTGGGACTACAGGCGCCCGCCACCTTGCCCGGCTCATTTTTTTTTTTGTATTTTTAGTAGAGACAGGGTTTCACCGTGGTCTCGATCTCCTGACCTTGTGATTCGCCTGCCTCGGCCTCCCAAAGTGCTGGGATTACAGGTGTGAGCCACCGCGCCCGGCCTATAGCTGTTTTTTTGATAAAATATAATTTAATTTCTGTTCTTCCTATTTTCTCGTCCATTTTAGGATTTGGTTTTTGACCATGTTGCCAGAAATAGAATTTGTTTTATATCGTTGACCTTTGAACAATACAGGGATTAGGGGTGCCAACACCCTCACTCTCCCACGCAGTAGAAAATTCATGTATAAGTTTTGACTTCCCAAAAACTTAACTACTAACAGCCTACTGTTGACCAGAAGCTCTACTTATAACATAAACAGTCAATTAACATATATATGTATTTTATGTGCATTATATACTATATTCTTACAATAAAGTGAGCTAGAGAAAAGAAAATGCTATTAAGAAAATCATAAGGAAGAGAAAATACATTTACTATTCTTTAAGTGGAAGTGGATCATCATAAAGGTCTTCATCCTCATCTTCATCTTGAGTAGGCTGAGGAGGAGGAGGAAAAATAGGGAGGGTTGGTCTTTCTGTCAAAGTGTCAAAGGTAGAAGAAAACCCATATATAGATGGACTCAGTTGCAGTTCAAACCTGTGTTGTTCAAGGGCCCATTGTGTTTGAGAGCACTTAGGTGCATTTGCTTAACTGGCAGGATCTCATTTGCTGTTAACGTTCTTCCTGGGTTGGAGAAGAGTCATGTTTATGCATTGGTCATAACAGCATTCTCTTTGGAAGGTTTTTATTGCTGTTTTAAAGCAAGTTCCCATTGTCATTTGGTATTTGCTTTCTGTCTGTCTGCCTGCCTGCTGTCTATCTGTGTATCTATGAGATACACAGAGTCTCACTCTGTCCCCCAGGCTGGAGTGCAGTGGCATGATCTCGGATCACTGCAACCTGCGCCTCCCAGGTTCAAGCAGTTCTCCTGTCTCAGCCTCCCGAGTAGCTGAGATTACAGGAGTGTGCCACCACGCCTGACTAATTTTTGTTTTTTTTAGTAGAGATGGGGTTTCACCATGTTGACCAGGCTGGTCTTGAACTCTTGGCCTTAAGTACTCTGCCTGCCTCAGCTGCCCAAAGTGCTGGGATTATAGGTGTGAGCCACCGTGCCTGGCCTGGTTTTTGTTATCTAGCAATGCAAGCCAAATAGAAAGGTTTAGGAACATTTGCCTAAAAACTTATCTGCTATACTTTTCCCTTGAATCTGCCTTGTAACCTCCTAATGTTGAATGTACTGTGCCACAAGAAGAATTTCCAATAAAGTCTAGTGTTATTTCTGTTCCTGAGTTAAGCGAGGTTATGTAGACCTTATTTAAGGAAAGCTTGTTTTGGAGAATTCACAGGAAGTACTATATTGTTAAGTTTTCTAGTATTTAAAACAATATTTACTAGATTGCTAGATTCAAAACAATTAGATTGCATTCTTCTTGGCTTTGATAAGACCAGTGATGTTTAATTATTTATGACTTGCTCACCACAGAAGTAAACTAGCAATTGTAGTAACACTTGCATTTTTCAATATGAGAATTTACTTGTGTCAGTATTTTAGCTGCACAAATAGTAAGTAATTTCCTTATTGTCCTATTTCTGTTTTTATCCCACTGCTGACCTCTTATCTTGCATTTCCAAATACCTGATAGGCAATTTGATGCCCTGTACTTCAACTCCATATGCCCTCAAGTAATATCAAGTCATTTTTTTTCTTCTTTTTCCTTCTGTTTCCTGTTTCTTGTAATAGGGACTTGAAACCCCTGAGAAATCTTTTTCATCTCTCCTTGTGCCCCAGTATCCGATCACTGGCCAAATCCTATGATCTGTCTTTAAACATTACACCTTTTTCTCCCTTCCCACTGCCTTAGTTCACCCTCTGTAGCCATATTATTTTAATACTGTGTTGATGTCTTTACCTTCAGTACCAATTTAGGTAACATGACAGTTAGATTAGATTTCTTAAAGACAATTGTCTTAGCACCTTGCTCTGCAACTGTCAGTGGCTCACCACTGACAGGGAAGTAAATTTACACTCGTTAGCCTGGCATTTGAGGTCCTAAAAGAATATATCAGGGTAAATATTCCCAACATGCATCTTGTTTTGCACCCTTCCCTACCTCTGATAATCTATCATTCTATTCTCTACGTCAATGACATCAAATTTTGTAGCTCCTATGAGAACATGCAGTATTTGTCTTTCTGTGTCTGTGTATTTCACTTAATGTAATGATCTCCAGTTCCTTTCATGTTTCTGCTAGTGACATAATTTCATTATTTTTTATGGCCAAATAGTATTCCATTGTATGCATATAGTATAACATATTTTCTTTATTTATACATTCCTTGTTTGTGGACACTTAGGTGGATTCCGTATCTTTGCTATTGTGAATGGTGCTGCAATAAATATACAAATGCAAGTATCTCTGATGTAATTATTTATTTTACTTTGATAGATACCCAGTAGTGGGATTGCTGGATTACATGGTAGTTCTATTAATATTTTAGTTTTTTGAGCGGAGGTTGAGATCTGAGAACCGGACAGACTGCCTGCTCAAGTGGGTCCTGACCCTGGTAGCCTAACTGGGAGACATCCCCTACTAGGGGCAGACCGACACCCCACACCTCACACAGTGGATGTACACCCCTGAGAGGAAGCTTCCAAAAGCAAGAACAGACAGGTACACTCGCTGTTCAGCAGTATTCTATCTTCTGCAGCCTCTGCTGTGACACCCAAGGCAAACAGGGTCTGGAGTGGACCTTTAAGCAATCTCCAACAGACCTACAGCTGAGAGTCCTGACTGTTAGAAGGAAAACTAACAAACAGGAAAGGACACCCACACCGAAACCCCATCAGTACATCACCATCATCAAAGACCAGAGTGCAGGATAA